CTAAAGAGTTTTACCATTTACCTCAGTCCTATGTGTATTTAAAACATTTATTTATATTATGTACCACTAAATATTCATCAGACTTTACATGGGGGTCCTTATTAATATAATCTTATATTGTTATCATGTGATGACTGTAGAATAATTGTTTTGTAAGCAATACCACCTGGCAAATCTAGACAAGTTTCCATATTTGCATATATTATAAAGTGGGGAAGGTAAAATGGCTGTAAAGATTGGATGCATTTATCATTTTGCACCCCAACTGGCGTATTAAGAAGTAACACCTTTAACTGCCTTTTTATACACCTTAACAGTAGTCATACCAATGCATTGCACTGTACATATGTTATAACATTTAGTGTAAGTTTTGAAAAATCTGATGAAAATCGTTGAATCTGTTGTGAAATTTTCTACAATTTTAAGTGGCCCTGATTTATCTTGAACAAATTTTCCATGGTGATTACCCTGCTGTTTGAATTTAGGTTAAAATATTCCTGGGAGTGACCCGAGTGGGTCATATCGTTTTTATTGAATTTCTAAGACAGATCAAGACTTGTTGAAAATGTACAACCTTAAAATGAGTAAGTGTTGATAGATGCATTTATTGCTAAAATAAATTTAAAGTATAATTTCCCCTTCCATTTATTATTGGCTAAAAACGGCTTAACGGATTGAATATTGGTTGTCCCGGGATACGTCAAGAACAATTTACGAAATATATGACGTAACAAAAATGACTCGCACTTTTTATGGATGATTCCAGTTGCGGCATTGACAGAGGGCGGTTAGGCATATGTACCCCAAACAGATAATTTTAAGCGTGTCTTGATGGCATTTAAAATATTTTTTTGTATACCCAGATTTTGCAACTTAACTGTAACAATTACACCTTCAATTCATGTGTTCATAATAAAACTTTTGATAACATTTGAATAATTTTAAACACACTAAATGACATGAATCTATAACAGTACAATACTTCTTCCAGTTATTACATATAACCTTCGTTTTGATCTATTATATATATTTATCAGAAATGATTTCCCTACATATTATCTCGTTATTCAAGACTTCTGTAAATCCTACTCTTAGCTACAAAATATAAGATCTACAATACGCGATAATTTTTCTCTTGCGAAAAATATGCTAGATCTATTTTTTTTCACTGAACATATTAAATTTTAGGAAGGCTAAAATTATTGAGAACATCACTCGGTGTTTCTTTTGAATCGATCTCCCCTTCATATTAACAGAATAATTATATGTAACACGTACTGAGTCTACAAAAAAAACACACTAATTGTCGCTTATTGAATGCTCCAGTGACTGGGGTAACAAGCAAACCAATGCTGAACGTGTAGTGAATCAGTTCTCCTTTCTATATATTTCTTGTCAGATTTGCATGATAATGTAGTATTTGTTCAAAGTTGAAACCTACGGTAAGTTTTAGCGCACGAACATCGCACCCGAAATAAGAAGAGTACATTTTTGTGTAACTTGGTCAATTCAATTATTTTTTTTAATAGACGTGATACATACTTATGGACAGATTCAGAAAACTACAGAATTATGGAAATTAAACATTAATTATCGAAGAACCATTTTTTTAGTCTTCTAGCTACTGTTCCCGCTCCCCTACGACTCGTTGCGGTATTCAAGATACGCGCTTGATTGAAAAGCACTCCATTGTTCTTTTTCTCTTAAAAATATATAATACGACAGTATGTCATGGTAATTATATAAATCTTTGAGTGTTAGAATTTATATTTAGCGGTTACTGATATTTTCACTTCAAATTATTTTGATTGTTATAAATAATGGTTTGCTAGTAAAATTGCCTTTTTGACACCAACTTTGTTCTCATTTTTCATTTAAATGATAACATTTAGCTATTGATCAGAAAGTAAATAAGAATAATTAATTTTTTATAATTACCGAGTACATTTCACGCATATTGTGAGACGAACCCTAAATGACGTCTATATGGGCGTCGCCATTTTGAAATGGACGTCACGTCAGGGTTACAACGTCAGTCAACGGGAAAAATATAATTTTAACAATTATTTGACCATATTACTAAGTTTATGAAAAAAATGAAAAACATGCCTAGAGATATTGACGTAAGGGTTAACATGACATAAATTTAAATGATTTTACTATTATATTAAATAAAAAATGGAATGTTCAAATTTAATGGGACAGACTATAGTCTTGCGTACGTTTGGCTATAATAACAAAACAGTTCATATTCAACATGGCTTTCAGAATGTGATTACATCAAATATCTAAAATGTTCTGAATGAATTAATAATTAAAACATATAAACATATAATCGTATTTATTTTTAGGCTTATTGTGCCTTTAACAGATTTTTTTATTAATTTTACGCCTGCCAACGGTTTGTTGTCTTATCGTATACACAGCAGAATATACTTCAATGTAATCGGTCGTAGTCCATTAGTATATTTAGCATTGAAGTTTATTAATAATCAATGATAATTGCACAGCATAGAATTCAAAAATAAAGTACATATTCTATACATGGTAAACGCCGAGGGTTGTTAGCTTTGCTTGGTGTCGTCTCGTGGCGATCTGTAAATTTTTACCAAATTTACAGATTTGCTAAATGAAATGCGTTTCAACGATTTGCCCACGAAATTGGAGAAAATATATATTTCAAACGAATTGCAAAGCCATAGAACATATATCAATGTATCACTGATTTTGTATACGCAGGTAACAAAAATTATCGGTTTGTGAAAATTTATGGAAGGGTATATCCGCCATTTCACGCATTATTGTATTTGTTATTTCAATATGCCAATTTCTTTCCACTGCTGCCAATTCAATTTCTATGTTGCTTTAGAAGTGCATTATCCATATTTGTATGTAAATTGCGATATTGCAATTATTACTCTACCTTTAATGTTGTAACCATTGAAAACTAATGATTTTTTTTAATTCAGTCATAAGAGTTCATATTTAGATATTTTAATGATAACTAAGTGCTGAAATTGCTTACTATGCCAATAAAATGAAAATCGTCGAGTTATAATTATTGTAATGGACTTTAAATTCAATTATTTAAATTGTTATTTAGGATTATTTTGCTAACTTTCTCGTTTTATCCATTTGAATAAAATTTTATTGATAAACATTATATTCCTGTATCAAGTGATTCAGCACATATCGACATGCCTTCGGGATTTGGTTTTTTATTGAGAAGTCATGGCCCTTGATTATATTGGAAATGCACTGAGTCTTCTGTGTGTAACTCCTCAATACATGTTTCCTGCCATTTCACCAAACTTTCATAAAACTATAACTCGAGGGTTTAGAGCGAAACTGGTCTACCTGCTTCTATTTCTATATAAAGATGGACCAGTTTCGCCCGAAGCCCTCGAACTGTTATTAAGTGACTCTGCTCAATTATTAAGGTTTTAGTATCTCGGCCATGTTTGGTATGCCGGAGTTTTTCCCATTTGACAAAATTTCCCCCTTGGTGGGGGATTTAGCTGTCGATGAACATGACATTGTATTAACACTGAAATGCTTGGGACTTTTAGTAGTATGTTGTTAGTAAACAGTAAAATTTGGCATAATTATAGGAAAAAAGGTGCGTTATAGTTTCATATGATGATTTGATTGAACAGATATAACAAATGATATAATTTGATTTTATCATATTTAAATGTGCAATGCAAAAAATATTCATTAATTATGAATTTAGTGTGTTTTACTTGCAAGAGTTGTGTCACAGGTGTACAAATTTACCTATATCATCCCTATATCTCCAATATACTAATACTCTAAATTTCAGCAGTATGCCGTAACATTGTAAATCGACTACTCAACGTGATTTACAATAACACTATCTTTTCACCTTTCCTCTTTACTATTCCTTTGTTAAATTGATTACATGTGTATAATAAAAGGAATATATTTTGCTACAGGTATTCTCTTTATATGTTGCATTTGTAAATTGCGTACATCTAATGTTAATAGACTTGTATTATTTGAGTTCTAAGATCATTTCTTAGAATATATTTTTCTTTGTGTAATATGATGTCGGCCATTTTGTACATGTATGTTTACATTATTTAAATGCAATATAATTAAACAATATATTTTGAAAGAAAATAAGATTGTATTGTGTACGTTTGGTTTATATAACCTTAACTTAAATCATTTAAATTGATTACATGTGTATAATAAAAGGAATATATTTTGCTACAGCCGGAAGTTGTTCTGATCCGTCATCCCCTGGCCCCAGATATATGAAACTCTACCGTTGAGACGGTCCAGTGCCCTAGACTATAGAGGGAGGTCTGGCGCCTCGGCGACAGTTGCACCAAAACAATGCAATCAGATCTCTGTCGAGTTTCATTTTTTTGACAGTTTGGGCTGGAATATTATTTGCTATGTATGGCCAGCAAAGGTGTCAGTGTTGTTTCCTTAAAGAGTTTTTATTTATCTAAGATTTGACACCAAGATTGTTAAGATTGTTGAAAACTTGATGAATATAAGCGCTGAAATTGAGATGCTGGTGATATAATTTTCATATTGTTTTCAATATGATTGATTTTTGTCAATACTTATGATGTTTCGATAATGTTTGTTTGTTTGTTTGATTCTTTTTTTATTGTTTTTTTTTTTCTTTTTTATGTAAAGAAGTTATCCAGTATAGGTTACGGACGATTGGTGGTTCTATTCGAGTACCAACTCGTGTCTGAAATAATGCATTAAGGTACGCCGGAGGTTTTCCTTCACCACTAAAGATGGAAAGTCGCCATATGACCTTTATATAGTGTCGGTGTGTCGTAAAATAGCATAAAATTAAATAAAACAAAGAAGAAGAAGAACAAAAACAAGTTAGAAAATTTAATCTATGCACACTTTTTCAGATATATTGTACATAGTAATAGATACATAATTAAAATTTATTGCAATATGAAATAACAGACATCGAATTAAACGCATTATTAACTCTACATTCACTAGAACCAGTCCTCATCGCTTGAACCCGACACATCCACTTCCGGTTCCTGTTTCCATTTACCCCACGAGAAATAGTCGACTCGGAGATCAGACTCTGCATAATCTCTCACCATACGAGCAATGGTGACTCTTTTACGCGCCCAATCCCGATAACACTCTCCGCTACAACATGTTTGGTAGAAAGGTATTGGACATGCTAAGCAGACGACGTTTAAAAGCTTCTTGTAGAGAGGCTGGATCGTACGACTGGTTCTAAAAATAGGAGAAGGTGACATACTTGGTCCTGCTTTAACATACGCACGATCTAGGACATGGAATGTAAATTCTATTTTTGGAGTTTGAAGAATATTTTTATATACGGATTGCCCTCATTCAAATTTAGAGTCATTTATCAGAGCTTGAGGGGAATCCTTTTATTCAGCTTGTGTTTATGGGAATCGGTACGATGAAACTTGAGCTTGAACAAGAGCTAGAGTCTGAAGCCAGAAGAACTAGAATCTAGCTCGAGTCCTGAACTAGACGAACTCGAAATCACTGCTGAAAACTAAATATCTTGAGTCGGAAGAGCTTTGCCTGTTAAGTTCTTGAGTACCTTGAAGTTCACTCGTTTTTATCTTGCGACCGAAACATTCTCTTCATCGGCAATACTTTCTTTTTTTACGCCAGTTGATAAAGTTGTTGGAAAAGACTTTTCGTTGAACTAAAGGCAAAATAAGAAATGATGTTTAGGATTTAAATTCATTCTATAGTTTTATACTGTTTTGCAAAACAAAATTAGATTTCAACAATAAAACTTTTATTTGTTTACATCTGTACAAGCAGTATTGCACACAAAAAATCATATGTAACTTGATCTGTATTGCGAGTACAAAAATGCGTTTGAAAATTATTAACGCTTTGTTTATAAATCATCTGTATAAATGTGTCGATATTTGGTATATTTTTAAATAAATGAAAAGTGAATAAAATCGTATATAAAAAATGCGGTATTGGAATCGTTGTATTACAAAAAAAATGTTTTAATTATAAAGGAAGTAATGCAAAAACATCAAGAAATGTGCCCATTGGACACGGATGCTCCAACATCCAACTATTTCATCAGTAAACGAACAGTCAAATGTGCCCATTGGACACGGAGTAAACGAACAGTCATTGTGACAACGGAACAAACGGATAAGGTCAAACCTCCCCTAAGTAAGTGGGGCATAAAATAAATCAATGATTTGATGAATAAATCAGATATATTAAGAAAAGTTTTTTTTTCTATATAAATATTAAAACATTTACCATTGTTTTTGTTACGTTTTATTTTCTTCTTCTTTCTATTCAGCATACTGATATCTTCGCCATGTTCAGAGTCGGACTCGTATCCAGAACTTTCTATTTCGTCATCAACAGTTATTGTGACATCATCTTCATCATTCAAACTCCTCTTGATTCCCTTTGCTAAATTGTTTCCTAAAAGAGAATAGGGAAATTTAAAAATTTAAAATAATTTTTATAAAAGCGAAAAACGTAAACAAAAATTTGTTATTTTGCCCTTTTAAAATTCCCTGTAATTTAACCTTGACAAAAAAAAATAAAAGGTTTTTTTTTGGGGGGCGTAACAGAACATAAAAAATTTAAAAACCCGCCCCTTTTTGGGGGAGGGAGGATGGGGGAAAATTTTCGAAACTGGGGTCTTTTGCGACCGGGGTCAACCCAAAATTTACGCTTAAATACTTTCCTTTTGGGAAAAAAATTATTTTAAAACCATAAAATTTGTCTTTAATTATTAATCATTTTTTATTATTTTTTTAGTATTTATCTTTAAATCTTTTAAAATTATTATTATTATTTAAAATTTGAATTTTTTTAAATCTTTTTCTCTTTCCTTGCTTTACTTATTCGGTGATTTTATTAATTGAAGGAAACAAAAATTCTAGAATACATACCAGAGTCAATGTGGTTGTGTGGTGGAATTGTCTCATTACTGGCACTAATATTATTAAATATATCATCAGAATCAAGTGGTAAAGTTGTGAGGTCAAGAACAAATTCGTCAGGATCCGTTACACCTGTAGTCTCCGTAATAATTACAGTGTAATCTTCGTTACTGTAATATAGATTAAAAATACTACTTTTAAAGATACATTCATGTTTGAATGTTAAAAACTGCTTAAGCCGGTACAAGGGGCGTGGACGATAGCTTGCAATTACCACTGCCGCCAATGAACAGACTCAATCAAAACGAGCCTTCAACATTTTCAATTTTGTTGTTTAGAACGTCTCAAGAAATTCTGTATTTCAGTATTTTACAAGATATCTAATATTTCAAGATAAAGAATGAATGTGACAAGAACGGTGCAGAAAATACATTTTAGAGATATATAAAATCATGATGAAAACTCGATTTTGTATATCAAACTCTTCTATACTTTGCAACAGAACTTACCCATGCGACCAATGCAGACTACGATCATCCTCGTCGTATGATCATGGTCTGCAATTTTCGCTATATTCAATCAGTAGAGCTTCTGAATTTTTTCCTATTATGATCAATGGTTTTCTCTGAATATAAAATGGCCGATTTCAGATATTTAGTATAATAATGGGGGAAATTATTAAAGACTCCAGCCATCCCGTGAGATATTTTGTTAGATTTTAGAAGCAATGTTTCATCAGTCATTCAAATATGACTAAAGATTCAAAAGGGATTTCTACATTTAAATCAATATTAAATTGTCATTTTCATCACGATAGAATACATTTTTTTACAAAATGAAAGTGCTTTTTTAAATAGAACTTGATGACCAAAACACTTCTATTAAATGCAAACATTTTTTGGCCTGAAATATAAATTTACAGATCAACAAAGATTGATATCAATTGTATTTTTATGTCTAAAATTTAATTATTTAAGATGTCTTGAACTCACCTCACTTGCGGAGAACTATTTACTGACGATTCTTGGTGATAATTTGGCATTACTTCCATACTAGTAACATTTTTATCTTCCTCGTAGAATATACGTCTTGTTTGTTGTAATACTGCGCTGTTTCTGTTGACGTTGTCAACGACGTTATTATGACGTAGTAACGTTTACTTCGGGTCTATTTATAGAATATCCTACTATGACGTATACTTTTCCAATTTTAATTTTCACTTGGGAATGATCTAACAAATATTAAATAAATAATTGCTTTCAGCATGGACGCTTCTGTATGACTTGCTGTGGAATTTGACAAATGAAAAAATAAAATGAGAATGAAATAAAAAAAAATCCGCAGTTATCAAGTTACTTCTGTATACATAAAAGTACATGTATGTAAATTTACAATCGTTCTCAATAAATGCATGCTTTTGATAGGAATTGTGTTTCTATGCCGATAAAGTCATTCGCGCTCAGACATAAGCACCGATCGCATAAAATTTGTTTTTATAAGAATATTTCTGAATTATTTGCTAAAAAAACTATGCAATCAGATGTGTTTCTAAAGAGTCGCCACCCGAAACCCATACGGGCGACTTATTCAGGAAGTCTAATAAGTTTTATTCAGAGTTTAGTGCAACGACTACGGAAATTACTCCATTGCTGGGAAACAACTGGGTTTGTTCTTTAATGGGTATTGTGTTAAAGACCATTACACGATACCTGTTTCTGTAGTCTCGCCCAAAACACCTTTCTGTAGCGGACCAAATTTAATATCCTAGAAATGTAGAAGGCAATCACTGTTGTAACACTATTGATCAATTTCGTGTTTGTGTAATCTTTTATGTTGTCGAGTCTTTACAAAAAAAACAACAAACAAACAAAACACGTTCTTACAAATGCCACGGCTTTTAAATGCGTTGCCTAGATTTAATTTAGCAAGTTAAGTTACAGGCAGATTTCCCAAATTATATAACCAGTAGAAGTCCGACCCGAGCATCATTGCAGACAATGGACAATTCATTGAATCTGGTAAAGCACCAGATATGATCCAGGCATTTTTTCAGACTGAGTAGGACAACAGAGCTTGATAGTAAAATACTAGCCTGGACATAAGAAAAACAATTCATTTAAAATACACAGAACCGCTACAACCTTGGAAACTGATCAAAAAGTATAACCGAAAAGGCATGTATTAAAGTGCATAAAGCTATATCTCTGCTTCCTATACTTAACAATTGTTTTTGTTTGACATTTCAGTAACAATAATACCAAAATGACTGAAAAAAATATGTTGGTACGTTTCCTTTTGAACGAATGACGCTTGCTAAACGGTTAATAAAAACCATTTTTTTTTAAAAAAAATTGTTAATAAAAAACCCTACTCGTTTCGGAAAAATTCTATTGTTTACTACAAATTATTGAAACATTCTGCTTCAATAATTTTGTGGTACATAAACAGGAGTTGTAACATTTGACATCAATAATTATTGTAGTAATTTTTTTACAAGATATAGCTTTAAACCTTTAATTTTCAAGTGAATAATTTCTTGTTTTTAAAACTGATCTTGCACTAAAATCCAATTGAGCCGTGTCACGACAAAACCAACATAATGTGTTTGCGACCAGCTTGGATCCAGACCAGCCTGCGCATCCGCGCAGTCTGATCAGGATCCTTGCTGTTCGCTTACAGACCCTATAACAAGTAAAGAAACTGATAGCGAACAGCATGGATCCTGATCAGACTGCGCGGATGCGCAGGCTGGTCTGGATCCAAGCTGGTCACAAACCCACTATGTTGGTTTTGTCGTGACACGGCTCAATTGTTTTTGAGATATGAAGTTATACAAGAAGTTACCTGCATAGTTTTAACCAGCGTTGAATTCGACACACGTATAAGATAATCATATTTAAGTTTAGCTTAAAATGTTCCAATCGAAAATACAAGACATGCATGCACAGATCCGACGGGTATTGGTCGGAGTGGTGACAGGGGGGTGGGTTGGATACTAACGTTGTCTTCCAAAAATCATTTTGCCTTTTTACAAGTGTGCTTTCAAGCTCTCAAACAAAGTTTTGAAGTTAAGAATACATACTAAAAGGGTAGAAATGAAAACGAAACACATCTACAATATAATCATATGCTAAATTTAATTGTTCAAATAGACATAATGACAAATACTACAACATAATGATGCAAAAATATCATGATCTCTGAACGCCGTGTTTTCTCTAAATGAACCAGCATGGTTAAAAATGTTTCAAATTTCAGTCCAACCTTGCATTTTTTATAAAAAAAAAACATTTCCAAAGAATATTTCAAGATATGAATGAAAAATAGTGCCATGATCTTTATACAATGCTTATTCTCCTCATGAAAAGGAAATTTAATGACACAGTGAATATAAATGAGCCGCGTCATGACAAAACCAACATAATGGGTTTGCGACCAGCATGGATCCAGACCAGCCTGCGCATCCCCGCAGTCTGATCAGGATCCATGTTGTTCGCATACCAACTCTTTTACAAGTAGAGAAACTGATAGCGAACAGCATGGATCCTGATCAGACTGCGCGGATGCGCAGGCTTGTCTGGATCTATGCTGGTCGCAAACCCATTATGTTGGTTTTGTCGTGACGTGGCTCAAATGTCTATAAACTCATTATTGTTACCATGATTTCAAAATTAGAACAAAACCTTGAAGCATGTTTAAAACTCTTAACCTGCTGAATTTCTTCAATGGACTCGTCCAATTTCAGTTCTTGGAACAGTCCATTATCAAGTTTAGGTATACCGAGATGAAAATTTACAAGTTAACCAGCCAACAGTTTCAAGCCTGGTCACACTGCACGGATGAGAAGGCTGGCCTCAGCTCTGTACTGGTGGCAAAGTCTAATCAATATCCCGTTCCAGCAGCAGGGTCAAGGTCAATCTCAAAAGTCACCTAGCTTCAAATTTTAACAAATAAATTGAAATAATCTTCCAATTTCAATAGTTTTTCACACATCAGAATAAAATTTGAGTTCATTTAATAGGAAAATATACATCAGATAATTCATTATTGATTTACAGACAGAAAATAAGTACAATAAACATGCAAAATAAATTCCCCTAGAAATCATAAACATGTAGTGTATAAACCAATTACTCTTAACCAATGATAACAGCTAACACACACAGATAAATGAAAATGATGAATATCTTAAAAATGTCCATGTAATGAAAACACATTACAAGTCCCAGAGACAAAAAAAAACACCATCAATTGTTCACGTTTCATTTCACACTTCATTTTACACTTAAACCGGTATAGATTTCTAAATCACCACTGTATATTCTAGCTTCTTCTGACTCAAATATCCAAAAATACCAACAATTAACTGTACACTAGGCTTTAACTACTTTCCAAAATGTAGCTTTTTTTTTCATTAAGCAATTGGCAAACCCAAATAATACAACTCGGCAAACTTGTGCAAAATTTTACGGAAATTAAAAAAAGATATAAAATTAGTGGTGGTTTAGAAATGTGTACAAGTGTACAAGATTTGGTTTAGACTTCAATCTATAAACAGTAAATTTCTGCTCTGTAGCTTTTTTTAAACCTTATAAATTATGCAACGCTTGTTGGTTAAAATAACCCAAAACAGGGTCATAACTCCAAAAGTAAAGATATCAGAATTATGCCCAACTACCCATTGTCATATGCAAATAATAACTTTAAAAATATTGGAATAATGGCCTACATTAAAGTTTTTGCAAGACAACGACGACAGCACAGCGACCATGGCAGCTCGACTTTTTAAACGAGCTAAAAATCAACTAAGTCTCAGAATACAGCCTAAAAAGTGCATGTTTTTAATTGTCATTTTAAAATTCTATATAATGTCAATATAACTATGGTATTTAATTGCACCCAAGAGCTTACTGAGTGTTTAATAAAGCCACCACTATAACACAAAACAAATTCCTTACAAAGCAAATTTTTACTAAAGATAGAGAAAAATCAGGTATCATTTTTATTTCATTATTTAAAATCGTATTCCGTCAGTAAACAATGCATTCACATTAAAATAAAAATGCTGCACTAGTAGAACGTAAAGACAAAAAAAACAATCACTAGACACGGACACCGAGAACAATGGTTACTACAGCCAAACAAAAATAGTCACTAACAAAAAGCACATAGAATATATATATATATATATATATAGCTGTAAAGACAAGACAAAATATCAAATAAACTCTGACAAAACTACAACAATGTTTGAACATGACATGACATCTTAAAATTAAAAAAGAAGAAAAAAAAATTAACCCCACCCCCTACTTTTTTTAAAGGTTCACAGTAATTATACCTAATCTCTTTCTATATAAATCATACGGATATTGAACAAAGGATATTATTCTTAGGATAAAAGCTGGTAATGTCCTGAAAGCCCTTAGCTTTTCTCTTTCTATTCCATATATATAATTTGTACTTAAATGTGGTTAGGCTGGTGTGAATAATCCAGCATACACTGAAGTTATGACAAAAAATATAAAAAATATTGGATAAGGAACTTAAATTCTGACAGCAATCTGAAAATGAATTGAGCCATTCTAGTAAAATCCCTCACATAACTTGAAGAAACTAGAAATGTGTCATCATGCCACGGATGCCCCCGCATGCAGCCAAAATTTCAGATGTTATAATATTTAGTTCCAAATTTGTTTGCACAAATTATTTTTTTCATTTTAAGTTCAAAGCCCTTAAAACTTTTCAATGTTAACACAAACCATTTTCATACAATGTTCAAGGCACTGAAATTATTCAGTCTAAACCTTTTGAAAATAGCATATTTCATATTTGTAGCCAAAATAATGGCTACATACATTTCAGTGCTGAAACTGAAAGTTCAAAATTTTTCCAACATTCAAGAAAGATAAGTTTGTCCAAAATCATTGAACCACGACCAAATTCAAACTTAAACTGCTTATTCCTAAGATGTATCTATATTATTTTCAAAGTGAAAGGGACATAACTCTGCCAAAAAGTCATCGAACCATGACCAAATTCAAACTTGACCTGCCCATTCCTTTGACATATCCATATCTCAAATTTGAGTAGTTGGGTAGATAATGAACAGAAACTGTAAATTTCATATTATTATCAAAGTGAAAGGGGCATATTACTCTGCCAAAAATCATTGAACCATGACCAAATTATAACTTGGCCTGGGCATTCCAAAAACATATCCATATGTCAAATTTGAGTTGAATGTGTTGTACCTTTGGGGAGATATAAACAGAAACTGAAAATTTCATATTATTTTCAAAGTGAAAGGGGCATAACTCTGCCAAAAATCGTTGAACCATGACCAACTTTGAACTTGACCTGCGCATTCCTGTGACATATTCATATGTCAAGTTTGAGTTAAAAGTGTTGTACCGTTGGGGAGATTATGACCGGAAACTGAAAATTTCATATTATTTTCAAAGTAAAAGGGGTATAACTCTGCCAAAAATCATTGAACCATGACCAAATTCGAACTTGACCTGTATTTTCTCACGACATATCCATATGTCAAATTTGAGTTGAATGTGTTGTACCGTTGGGGAGATAATGAACGGAAACTGAAAATTTCATATTATTTTCAAAGTTAAAGGGGCATAACTCTGCCAAAAATCATCGAACCATGACCAAATTCGAACTTGACCTGTATTTTCTCATGACATATCCATATGTCAAGTTTGAGTTGAATGTGTTGTACCATTGGGGAGATAATGAACGGAAACTGAAAATTTCATATTATTTTAAAGTAAAAGGGGCATAACTCTGCCAAAAATCATCGGACCATGACCAAATTCGAACTTGACCTGTATTTTCTCATGACATATCCATATGTCAAGTTTGAGTTGAATGTGTTGTACCATTGGGGAGATAATGAACGGAAACTGAAAATTTCATATTATTTTAAAGTAAAAGGGGCATAACTCTGCCAAAAATCATCGGACCATGACCAAATTCGAACTTGACCTGTATTTTCTCATGACATATCCATGTGTCAAATTTGAGTTGAATGTGTGCAATCGTTACTAAGATAATGAACGGAAACTGATGATGACGGAATGACAGAATGACGGAATGACGGAAGGACGGAATGACGGAAGGACGGAATGACGGAAGGACGGAATGACGGAAGGACGGAACAGGGTAACACTATATGCCCCGGCCATTACATGGCGGGGGCATAAAAAAAAAATAAAGCAACCTTTACCCATTCTACCATTGTTTTTTTGTATCAGTATCAACCAATCACACATGTATATATATATATACTGTATTGTAACTTAGCTGCACTGCACTTGTAACCGAACGTTCTTACTTTCTGTCCGCAAGCAACTTTAATACAACATTAACAATATAAATCTACCCACCGAGACAAAAAGAAACAGCTTTAAAATAAAACCTGAATAAACTCCCCCCACAAAAAAAACTCAACTACACCAAGGGTCATAACTCTCAGCAAAAGAACTTGTTACACATCAGTTCTAGGCTCCCTTTAGTTTTGGCAGTGTTAAGGATAACTACCAATATGCAGAGCAGTAAAAATCTAGTTCTATTTCTGTAATTTGTGTACAGACTAAATGTGCACGACACTAAAATATGAAAAACTTCAGCCTTGAATCAACAGAATTTTTTATTCTTTTAAAATGCTAGTTTTTAGCAACCAATCACTATCAAGATTGGTTATTCAGGACAGGCCAACTGTGTACTGGTGTCTCTGTACTGGTGACATACGCCTAACATTTGAACCCCACATGCACAATCAAACATTCATGTCTATAGCAGCATTTTGCGATCTTTTACATCATATGTGACTCAATGATGTCATCAATGAGGTCATAAATCAATTAAAACAAAAACATTCCTACTATAGAATTAAATTGTATACAGAATGTATAGTAAACATATGGTAGATAATGACATGAGCTGTCCAATGTAACCTGATTTATAATAAAACAAAAAAAATGACATTTGAGCCGTGTCACGACAAAACCAACATAATGGGTTTGCGACCAGCATGGATCCAGACCAGTCTGCGCATCCGTGCAGTCTGATCAGGATCCATGCTGTTCGCTTACAAACCCTATTACAAGTAGAGAAACTGATAGCGAACAGCATGGATCCTGATCAGACTGCGCGGATGCGCAGGCTGGTCTGGATTCATGCTGGTCGCAAATCCATTATGTTGGTTTTGTCATGACACGGCTCATTTCCATTCCTAATAACTATACTATTGAACTATATATACAAATACAATAAAACCTGGATGATGAAGTACCGTTACAGACTATGATAACACTGCATGACGGATGAGGTCTTATATTACTGTTTTCTTCTTTATTTAGTCTGTATATGCAAGGTTTTAAAACATGTTATGAAGTCTTTACAAAATGGGTGCTGCCTAAATCAAAGAGTTTGTAAGTTATGTACAAAGAAAATTCCTCGGTTTTTAGATAAACATTGCCAAAATACTGCAGCCAACTTCGGCAGTTTGGGCTTTCCATAATTAGCACAGAATATTCTGAAATCAAGACCTTATAATATAAACTGTGACTGAATTATATGACTAAATATCATGGTTTTTAATGTCGACATAAAACACCTTCCTTTTATTATAAAATGATATTTCAACATTTAACTGGACGAGGACTAATTATCATTGCTTTTCTTGTTTTTGTATGTACAACAGCCATATTTACAAATTTATTCCTCAACAAAGCTTACATATCAACCTGAAAAAGTATTTAAAAAAAAAAAAATAGTATGACAGACAAAATTAGTTGAATTATTCAGATTTGTGATTTTTATCTTCGTATGGTCTAAAACCAAACTTAGTGAAAAAATAACCCCGAAAATGAATACAGTGCAAAAGAAATGAATAGGTATTTCCAACTTCTAAAGTATTATATATTTCTTACATCATAAAGCAGTGCAATAAGCAATGCCCTACTCGCTATCAATATTAAACAGCTAAACATATAACTTTGTCCCTCATTTTTTTTTTACATCCAAAAAACTAATTATTTAAAGCCACAAGAAGCACTCTGCTGAATTTTATTAGTGTCCCATGATATGCCAAAGATTTGAATTTGATAACTGTAACAGTTAATTCAAGAGATTTTTTACCACTTAATTTAACATTAAATTCCTGGAACTATACAGCAAATTGTCCAGTCTTGCGAGACTGCAAGGATGTGAAGGTTGACATAGCTATTTTTTTATTGTTGACCAAGGCTAATCCATTAAGTCATTAACTTGAAAAAGGTCACGACAAAATAACAAACTTCTCAAATATTGAGAAAGAAAAAGTTAAGCACTTGGAGATATTCTTTTTTTAAGAATTTCAATTTATCTTGTATTAAAATATCCCACATTAAACCTCACATCCGAGATTCTCAGGGGAAAAAAAACCCCAGAAGTGTCCCAATCAGCATATCCTAGAAAAAAAACCAAAAACAACAGCACTTTGACAGTGGCACAACAGACTACACAAAGAATAGGCACAAAAAAATTACAATATAAAATGTACACAGCCATTGACACAGTATTTACAATAACATATATATGCACCCACTGTACAAATGAAGTCATTTTTTTGGCATGAATCTATATATTCTGTACAACTTTTAATTTCATTTGCAATCAGAACACGATTTTTCTAAAAATTTGATTACTTCAATGGCTGATGTAATGGAAATACATAAAAAAAACCTAGACAGACAGAGAGAGAGAAAAAAAGATAAATGAAATGTAAATGTTATGCTAATGTAAGAGAGGACTGTTGAAATAACAGTTCATGATGTCAGTTATAACATGTTAAAGTCGTTAACACACGCTCAAACAAATTGCACAAGGTATCGGAGGCAGATCTGATCCGAGTCTTGAATGATGTATTCTGTGTACGGAATTCTTCGCCTCTTCTCACCCTCGGGAGACATAAACTTATGCTGCTCCTGGACACAACCCATTGGCATTACAGAACCTAGAAAGGCGAAATAAACTTTACCATGTACATATGTTTTATATTTAAATGTGTCATTCAATGTTTTTATCATGTATGTCTACATAAGACATATTTCTCTTTTTTAATGGTATTAGAAAGAATGGGCCTTCATCCATTATTTTCGGCACTTTTACAGCCCTTCAATCATTTTTTCCCCCTAAAAATAATTATGTATATCAAGTCAATTCCTGTTCAGGCACATCTACAGGAGTATTAATCACTCTGACCCTTCATCGAGTACCCGCTGTGCTGTAAGATCATGGATGAAAGAAGATTACAAAAAAAATCTTACGCAATTCCTCAAATTATCTTTTTTCTTCAAGAAGGCATACTACATGTAAGTAAAAGGTAATTTTGTATATTTTACAGTTCACCTAAGCTAAGTTACATGCAAGAAGAATCTTTATAGAATACCATATGGAAGAGCTAGATCCCAGTGTTCATCTGGTACTTTAGTTCCATGTATTCTGAGACTGTTAAACTCAGAGTTGATTAGATCTACCTCAACTCCTAAATCCACATCTTCCTTACAGTTACCAAGGGCAACCTGTACAAAAAAAGAAGAGAAATACATTAAATATACAAGTATTTTCTCAAAATAATACGGTTTATTCCTATTTCATCTTTTTCCAAGTTTAATTTACATTACTTACATTAACATTTGAAATTATGTATTTTGGACATGAACTGTAATAAGCTAAATATCATTTATCATCCCCCTTGATTTTGAAATGATGCTCATAAAATTTTTTGATAAATGACCTTTTACAAAACGCATATTTCTTAACAAAATTCCTGCAAATCAATCAGATTTTGAAAACTTCAAGAGCTCAAAGAATAGTTGGGATTTAAGTCTCAACCATTAAAGTCACATGGCAACTTTACTGGTGACAGAAGACCTCATGTGTCACTCTATGAATTATTCCACACACAAGAGGGCACTGAGTAAAACCATCTTTAAGGTAGCTGGACAACTTCCTCACATGAAAGAATTCGAAGTCCCTAGCATAATTCAACCTCACACATAATAGAGATGGACAAATAATTTGAAGTCAGGCATCTGTAAAATTCCCCCATCAAGTCCACCCATCCTGTCTTACACATTCAAAGAAGGCTATAAAGTATATATTTCTCAATGAACAGAAAGAATCCAAATTCATTCTTCACATGAAACATTAAGAATCCAAATTCCTTTGCGAGATTTACACAATCAGGAGTTCGAACGAGTTAAGTGACTTGAATTCAACAACCTTTACCAAACAGCTCATTCAGGCGCTTACACAATACACTTTCCTTCTATGCTCAATACCCTCAAAACAACACTGATTTAATATTGTTTATATTCATAATGTTCACATTTGCACTCACCTCACAAAGTAATGCACATTTCACTGAAGATTTAGGATTAGTACTGCTGCAGTACATATTGCTTTTAGCAAATGTATCAGCCGAATATATGCCCTGAAAAATAACAACCCAATTTTTTTTTTTTAAAATTCAACATTGTCTAAATTAGAAGAGAACCTGCTGTAATATTTTATTAACAACAAGAATAGGATAAATATGTTGAAGTCCTGATAGATCATTACTTTTGGTTTCTGAGTTGAGTCTTTTAGTCTCATTATTAACACCTGGTAGGTCATGTGGCAAATTTCAAGCTTTACTTATGATTTAAGTCCAAAGATGCAACTCTATGCTATATTCCTGGTATGAAAAGGCACCTGTGTTAAACTTTCTGTCAGCTGACTGGATATCTTTCCATTTGAAAGCATCAGGCCATGAGTGCACTAATTTCATGATTAATCACTAAATCACTGATTGTCCATTTGTCTTTAATTATCAAGAATTCAAACCTCTTTCTACTCAAGTAGAACTGATCAGTCTCACTTACACTTCATTTAATCTAATTAATTATAATTATAATACTTATATACTAGTATATTAGAAAAATCACATCGTAACAGAATAAACAATAACTTTACAACCGTACCTCTCCGAACGCATGTCCTGTTATAGGAGCCTCGGGTGGCGCCACAAGTAAACCATTATGGAGTATACTCATGAAGTTGGACATGGAGCTTCCATGCCATAACATCTTATGATTATCAAGCTTCTTGAATTTCTCTTGCTGATCCTCACCGGGACGCCATAACTTATATATGCAGACCACTTTTGAACTGCCTGATAATAAATGATGAAAAACAATTTTTTAAAATGGTACAATCTGCTTAATTGAACATTTTTTTTTCTCCCTTACAAAATAAAATTACGTAAATTTGTTTTTTGTTTCATTTGTTTTGATTGGGTTTTACGTCACACCAACACAGTATAGGTCATTTGGCGACATTCCAGCTTTACTTTCCGTGCATTATTTAAGGCACAAACAGGCACCTGAGTAGAACCACCGATGTTCCGTAAGCCAGCTGGATAGCTTCCTAACGGGATTTGAACCCATAGCGGTGTGGGGCAAGTGATTTGAAGTCAACAACTTTAACCACTCGGCTACGTATGTAAATAATAAATCTGCTATATACATGTATATATAAATATTTATACATAAACATTGTGCTAAGTCAAATGTAATTCTTTCATATGATTTATGGTACAAAGAAACATCTAAAAATGTCTCCAGTAATTTCATTTTGCGCAATTAACTAACAATTGTAAAACTTAAGTCAGGAACATTTCATTTCACTATTGTTGAGTCGTCAAGTCATACTGATAATATGAAGTTTGTATGGATAATTTTTAACATGAATACCCAAGGATGCCCCGAGACCTTCATACACACACTTTACACACACATACAATTTCGCCCATTTTGAAAATTGAATGTACCGCAATTACAGAAACTTTGGTTTGAGGTCAATCAACTTCATGTTACAACAAAGATCCACAGCAGTCAATAAATAAATAAAATAAACACAAGCAAACAAAGACAACGAAAGGAAAGTGAAGACTTGGGTCTTTCATTTATCAATGTTGGTTGGCATTATAAAAACGAACTTACTAGAATCTGTTGAGCCCCTGATATATTTGAGGATGTACTGTGACTCGACATCGTCTTCCCTGAGTGGTGTTATAGAGCAGCCTATTGCCTGATACATGTAGTCCAGAGGGTTACATTCTGTCAGTGTAAAAAACAAAACACTTACATTATAAATAGGGCAAATCAATGCTGCTTTAGGTAAGAACCTTTAAACTCATAGTTTAGTATTGTTTTTGTTTACAGTGTGTCTATAAGCTTATAGCTTCCTACAGAATCAAAATAATATAAAATTCTTTATAAAGTAACATTATAACAAGAGCTGTCGGTAGGACATCAACGCTCGACTATTCTTAGTGCTTGATAGTAAAAAAAAATGCTTGATACAATTACCTCCTCCTGTTTAAAGGTTGGGGTAATGATGGTGAACAAGTGTGCAAAGTTTCAAAGCCATATGTCAATGGACTTTCAAAATATTTGAACTATTACAAAAACTTTAACGTAAACTCTAAGTTGAAAAAGGGGCATAATTCTGCCAAAATGCTTGATACAGTTACCTCCTCCTGTCTACAGGTTGGGGTAATGATGGTGAACAAGTGTGCAAAGTTTCAAAGCCATATGTCAATGGACTTTCAAAATATTTGAACTATTACAAAAACTTTAACGTAAATTCTAAGTTGAAAAAGGGGCATAATTCTGTCAAAATGCTTGATACAGTTACCTCCTCCTGTCTACAGGTTGGGGTAATGATGGTGAACAAGTGTGCAAAGTTTCAAAGCCATATATCAATGGACTTTGAAAATATTTGAACTATTACAAAAACTTTAACATAAGTGGTTACGCCGACGCAGACACTGACGCCGACGCTCGGGTGACTACAATAGCTCTTCTTATTCTTATCGAATAGTCGAGCTAAAAATCCAAACACAATACTTGATAATATTTTTTTTTACATTGTTTGAAATGTTTTTATTTTTATTTCCAGTCACAACAAAAGTGTCAAAATTGTAGCGAATTTTTTGCAAGTGGAAGAAGACCTTATGTGCGAGTAAAGAGCATCATTGTCTGAATAATGGAGCCAAATAGTAAGCATCTTTTCCTGTGTGCCATTGAAAGGGAAAACAAATTACCAATTTTTAGAAAACCAAATTTGCATTTTTTTTTTTGGAAAAACCAAACCACCAACTTTTTGGGGGAAACCAAATTACCAGTATTTGCTTACCGTTGAGTTTATACTGTGCTCCAAGTAGTATTTTACTGGCAGTTTCGAGATCGAGCAGGTTCGAGATTAATCTCATTTCACCTTTTATACGAGATCTACAAACCAGCGGTTCTATCTTGTCGTATGAGTACCCTTCCTGTGGTATCAGGCTGTAATACTCTGTGGACAACGCTGAGATCTGTAATTATCATAAAATATATATTCAGTTTTATGTGTTAAATACAAATCTCTCATTTAAAAATAGGTTTAGTTTATAAAAATTTATTTCAGTTTGTTTGTGTTGGAAGCTAAAACACTCTTAAAATTAAATCTGCTCATGGAACCAACTAGTACTAAGCAATGAAAGTAAAGAACGACTTGCTGCTGACTCGGTTCGAACCCATGCGACCAGCAATCCTTAGATCTACCAAAACAAAGCCGGACGGATGCACATACACCCAACTTTACACCAAAAGTGGCAACTAAGTGGAGCTCACTGCAAGCCGGCTCATCATAAATGTTTCTTTCATTCAAACATCAACATATATATGAAAATTGCTCACCTTTTCACAATTTGTCTGATGTTCTGTTTGGTCAAACGCTAAATTGCTTTTGTTTTTATCTATTTCTACCACAATATCCCTGAAATATGCAGAATATTATTTAAAAAAAAATATATATATAGATATCTCTTAATTCATACCCACATTCGCTGAATTCCTTGATAATAATTCTTTTTGCTGGAATTTATTACGTTTTTTTTTCAGGATTGTACATTGTGCTGGTTCAAAAGGCAAATTTATTTACAGCTGGTTTGCAGTAACACATACTACCTTTCTTTCCTCTTATAACAAAATCATAAATTCCCAAATTAAAAAGTCCTCACCCAGAATCAATCTGAGATCATCCTTTTGTTAATTTATAATGAGCATGAATATAACATTGATATTAACCCAGTTTCTACCCTAGGTATCTTAGATGGTTTTGTCCATCTTTCAATCTGGACTAAATCATTTATTATCTTTTAGGCTAAATTATAAAATATGTACTGACTTAATAGCCAACAGTGCAGACCATGACTATGATCTGCACAGGTACTTGTTTTATCTTCAAAAAGCGAGGCTAATGAAATACTTACCCAATTTTCTGTAATATTTTTCTTGCTTCTATTAATACATCTCGTTTTATTCTACCAAATGGCATGTACTCCTCGGCCATCTTGGCATTCCGTAAAGCTGCCTGCATCATCCCAACATCGGCCTGTAAACATACGACAGAGATCTCATTTCTATTCTTTTACTTATCATTTATTTGTTTCTGATAGGCTTTAAGTCACCCTTACAAAACACACAAACACAAATCAGTTTTGGCAAACTTCCCACTCAAAATGGAAATCAATGTAATAAACAATTATAAAGAATTCATTTAAAACAATTCATCATGAAACTCAAGTCAATGAAGAAAATAGTAAAGTTGTAAACATATGTTATAAAATTGAAGACAGCATATAAATAACTTTTTTTTTTTCAAACCAAATTTCTCATTCTTTTCTTTTATGCTACATATATTAAGTAATTTATCAATCATACTTCATTAGAAAACATTTTATAGTACGTCTACAGTCCAGTGAAAAAGGGTAAATTAGCTTTGGATTGACTATTTCAAGTCATATAGACTTACCTTCATTCCCCCGACATCAGTATCTTTCCCAAGATGTCAATCACCCCAAAAAGTAATTTAACCTCTAAACCTTTCTAAAGAATCAATAATAATTCTCTTTTGAGGTTAGAAAGATCATTTTAAGAGTTACTAAGACACTTGAAGGTCCCAATAGCAGGAATGTCAAAATCAACTTTCACATGTACTTACCATTTCAGCAAGTAAATCTTGCACCTCCACTGGTAGTTTTGATGGAATGCTTGACTCTAGTTTAAAATCAACCCTGAGAACTGGTGACGGCTGGTTATCTAACTCTACCAAGCGGTATTTTTTTGGTTGGTTCTCAAAACTGAAAACAAGGTATTCCTTGTTACATGTATGCCAATATCAACAATTGTAATGCAGGCAAGTTCTTACCAAAAGAAAGCTTATGGAAGGATTTTGTAAATCACCAAAAGAAGTATAATAAAAATTCATTGAATTCAATTAACAGACATGGACAGTAGCCTACAATTAAGACATGTGTTAAATTTTCAGGGAAATCCATCAATGGTTTAAGATAAATGATAATATATAATGACCTTCAAAACGTGTTCGGCCAATGCCAGGTTATGGTAGAATAGCCCCAAAAAATTTCAATGATTTCACTTAAAGCTTGTTAACACACAAATTTGTTTTCTTTAAAAGGTGCAGATCTCGACAGGAGGGTTGGAAAAACAAATAAACTTCTTGATGGTGAAAATGAAAGGATACTTACATTGCTAAAATTGAAAGTTAGATTAAAGATACATATCAAACATAATTCCAATGAAAGTGCATAACAAAAACAAGAATGAATACTCACTTGTTTAAATCTGACCATGCATTCCCAGTTTTGGATTTGAATATTTTAGAGAATGAGACCGCAGCCTCCGCCAACGTTTGGTACGGAGTGTTCTGGTACATGCCCGTGTCACCGATACGACCCCACTTTGTAAACAGAACATAAATGTCCTTGACTTTGTGATAGATTATCTGCATCTTATAAAAGTTATAAGTGTCATTGAGAAGGCTTCTCACTTCTATCTTTGATAGAATAATGTCATAAGGTCGATTGTTCTCCTTGTCGAATACTACCTCCCTGAAAATATCAAAATATTTACTTAATGAAAGCAACAACAAAATACACCAAACAGGACATTTTTGGCTAATTGCCATGGGGGAGGAATATTATGAGGTTATTATACAATGTTGAGTACAATACTAGCTTCTATTGAACAAGTATACAGCTGTCAAAAACTTTATTGGACGAGGCGGTAGTAGAGTCTGATATAGCTTTTGCAGCTGTGGAAAAGTCCAATAGAATCAGTACTGCTCTCAACAATGTATAATAGCATCATTATTTCACACAACCATTTTTTAACATTTTGACAGAACAGTGTTACCTCAATTACAATTAGGATTTGATATGGATTTTTGGAGACTCAAAAATGAAAACGAGGCTATATAGGGTATGATATGAACTTTTTGGACTCTGGAAATGAAAATGAGCTACAATGATAAAACAGGATCCGATGTTGAGTTTAATTGGAACATCATGTGTTTCAAACGCTTCAGTTCCTTAGTAATATTTCATAATGTGTGAAATTAAAGGCCCTATTCTCAAACCTCTAACTCTTTTAAATATCTTTAAACAATATTAAAATTTTGTTGCATTTCTTAGTATGACCAATATCTTACCCTGTATCAGCTGCCATACACTGCTCATCAACTTTAGGTTTTGGTTTGGTTTTAGCTGCCTCTGCATCACTTGGTATCAGTTTCTTTATCATAGAATCAGCGTCAGCTTCAAACATATTCGCTTTCGCCTCCGCTAGCTTATTTTCAGCCTCAGTAGGGGCATGGAATGGAGGCGTAACTGGTGTCTCCTGCAGAAAAAGGCATTGGGTTTGAATCAAGGACATACACATTACAAAACACAATTTTAGCCCTTAACCTACTGAATTTCTGTGAAGGAATCACCAGGCTTTGAAGCAAGAGCTTTCTTTTCATGGGACTTTTATATCAAGATAGAAAATCTGACCTTTCTACAGTATAAAGCATGGTCAGACTGCTTTGATTGACATGCAGATTGGCCTGAGTCTATAATGGTATCAAAGACTACTGTTGGTTACAGCAGGTTAAAGGTACAGGAAAATTATGCAAATATATACATCACTTACACAAGTATAGAAATCAATGCCAATTGAATGCAGGTATAGATATATTGTCTAAAATGTGATTTATGTATAATCTTACAAATTTAGACTTGATTCAACTCTCATAAATGACAATTACAGTCCCAAATGAAAGATGAACAAGTCAACTTTAGACATTTAGTGTGGCAAAGGCTTAAAGTAAAGTATTAACCTTTTTATCTTCTTCAACATTCAGCAAAGCCTGCAACCTACTGGCTACTTTTTTAGCTCCAATTCGTAGCGCCATTTTCAGAGGAGTTTCTCCCCGCTTACTCTCTGTGACGAGTGGAGCTCCGGCCTTTGCCAGCACGTAGAGTATCTCTTCATCATCAAATGTGCCATAGTCTAATGGTGAGACGAGGTGGTGTATAACCGTCCAGCCAAACTTGTCTGTCACAGTAAGATCTACATTACTTGTCTTCTCCACAATCTCAAAATCATCTGTAAAAATACAAACATAATGTGATACTTCATGCCTCTTTCTTTCAAGCATTAATCATGTCCATTTTTAAAGGGTCAAACAAAGTCTCAGAAATAATAAATCCAGTTTTATTTTTGTAAAAAACAAAAAAAATATGTCTTGAAATGTTGCAATAACAGATCCAAAACATGTGAGGTGAAACATGCTATATCACCTTAAAAATAGCAATGAATTTTAAAGCAATTTGTGATAAAACAAGCAAAATGTAAACAAAATTGTATTTTGACTGCATTACAAAATACTAAATGGCTATAACTGTATTAATTGCCAAAATGTAAAAAGAAGCAAAAGATGGCTCAGCTATATGGCCAATGAGTAACTTTGAGAAATTTAGGCTTAATGGGTCAATTAAAATGTTACCGAAATGGTCCATTTTTTATTTGAGATGGTAATTTTTGGCTTTATCACATAAAATGAGAAGTGTTTTCGAAGTTTAGAGTTGGCCCTGTTCTACTGAGTGAAAAATTGAGATTTACCACAAACTCATAATTATTTTCATTCAACACTTTTATTTCATACACATGTTTTAATCCTTAATAAAGAAGGACCTCAACACAATATCTAAGCTGCACTTACGTAGAACAATGAAGCTTCTGTAAGGCACCTAAATAGCTTCCTCACAAAATTTGCCATTTTGCAACATACCATGCAGTTTATTTTATGTTAAAATCTAAATACTTATACATAATGTACTATTCTATCTACCTAATGTCACAAGTTCATCATCATTCAGTCAATTTTCTCCTCCTTTGTCAGTCAACAGAACTATTCAATATTGCCATTAACTAAATCTCTTTAAATCTGTTGTAAAGTTTTAATCAAGTCTGCTTAAGTTGTCAATCAAATAATTTACTACAATTCCTCAATCAAAATTTGGTGACCACATTACCTTTATTTGACAGAAGACTGGTTGGCTGTTTTCTCATAGAAGGTTGTTTGGAGCCCAGTCTGGGTATGGGCAAATGTTGGCCGTTGTCATCATCATCATCTTCATCAACAACATCTGTATCATGGTCAGAGTCCTCAATAGGCTCCTCCTCTAGTTCCTCTTCATTCATCTCCGAATTATCTTCCCCTGTTTGAAAGATAGGAAATTCAGTATTATCTCAACCCTTTGCTGTATAAAACCAGATTTTTCATTCTTTTTCTTGTCGTTTTTTTCCCCCCTTAAAGGTATCATGCTTCACTAAATTTAATGGAATAACAATTTTTAGTTCCAAAATTATCATAAGCCATTAGATTTAAAGATGACAGTTGTTTGACACAATTTCATCTATAATAACTAAATTTCCCCCTATGTTCAGTCACTGCAAAGCTTCTGCAGACTTAATTACATTAATGTGTATACCAAACATGCAGGAAAACATTTAATGTTGCCTTTTTTTTTGTTTGGATTTCAAATCACAATGACGTGTAATGCTCATATTTCCAGGTTTACTGGTGAACCAAGACCTTCTGTGCCCCTCTTCATTATTTCAGGTAGAGCATGTACCAGAGTAGAAGTGCAACATTCCTTAAACTAGCCAGACAGCTTCCTCACATGAAGAAATCAAGTCCCTTGGGAGGAATTCAAACCCACACCAAAGGAAGCAATTGGATTTAAATCGACAAATTAAACACTCAGCAATGGACTAAAATTCATGTAGATTATTTGGAAATTAAAACATGTAAGGCAAACGATAGCATCCAAATTTAAGACTCTACCTGCCTCTATTGTATTATCATGAATAAAGTGCCACTTATAAAATCAACAATTAAATAGGTCTAGATATGCCTTCAAAGCTTACCTTCGCCTTCATCATCATTTTCATCATAATCTTTATCTTCATTATCATCATCACCACCATCATCATCATCATCATCATCATCATCACCACCACCTACAGGTTTGATTTCAAACACAGCTCGAGATATCTTCTTTTTCAGTGTTGTTTTCGAGCCATCTGTTTTAGCTGGTTCCACATAGTCATTGTTCAGTAACACTCGTACAAGTGTTGCATCATGCTGTGGAAATAGAAATCGTGAATAACTAAGGAAATACGCATCTATGAATAAAATGTACTTTCTGATTATATAAAGCTTAATTATTACATAATGCTTCCTGAAAAACCTTTCCAACTGAAAATGATTTTGGAAAGTTTTTTCTATATATATATTTTTTTATTTTTGGAAAGTTGTTTTTTTCTTTTCTAAAAGATAAATCTACAAGCAAAAACATACATTGTAAGCTCAAAAATTTCTCTACAAATATTACTAAAACAAAATCATTAAGTTTGTTGAATACATGTTTTCAACTGTAAACAGATCAAATATTTTAGTAATAATCCTATAGGCAATCACAATGTCTGTTTTCTGCAGTGAGCCATAGCGAAGAATTGTTAAAAAGCATACATAATTTCTTTATTATTATAATCTACAAACCAGTTTTGCTGCATGCATAATGGGTGTTACTCCATCTTGATCGGGCAGATTGGAAGACGCGCCATTTTTCAACAGAAATTTCACAAGATCAAAGTCATTATTATACAATGCTGACATAAGTGGAGTTAGACGTCCAGAGTGCTCCAATGGCTCGAAAAAGTCCAACGGTAAGTCTGCGATGGCTACATCAAACAATGGTGTCTCTGGCCACTGTACTGTGTACACAACATCAAGACTAGCTCCCCCATCCAAAAGCAACTTGATGTAAGCCCTAGAAAATTATAACAGAACTCTTAATTATCACCTGAATTAGTTGTAGTTGTCCTGCATTAATTTTGGAACCATCTTCCTGGTAGTTCTAAAATCATAGCAAACAACAGTCTATACAGATTGTGAATATATGCAGATAGGCCTAGCTCATTCATCCTGACATTACTGAGTGAATAAGTTATTTTCAAAATGTATTGCCTAAATAACAATACTTCCAAGATTTCAGATTTTCTTTTCATATACTTTAACTTTTCACTGTTCATTAATCACTTAATTATATGGCGAATATAGTCCTTATTAGTTCAGAACTAATGTCGTACTCCAGTTTACATTCTCGAAATCTATGCAAGACTAAAAACAGAAAAAAAGAGTTCCTGGGTTTGGCTGGGTTTGATTACGCCTATTTGTGGATGCTAGTGTGTTTATTTGTTTGTGTTTCATGTCTCACCAATGAAGTAAAGGTCATATGGCGACTTTACAGCTTTACTGTTTTGAGGAAGACCTTTGGTTCCCTTCAATGCATTATTTCAGGCACAAACACACACCCAAGTGGAACCACCAACGTTCCATAAACTAGCTCGATAGCTTCCTCACTTGAAAGAATCCAAAGTACCTGCCGGGTACCACTCTGCCACAGTTGCATCTGACGGAAGTGGTAAATGCAATCTTACATTCACAACCACTAGCACTGACAAAGCAGTATTCAACATTTATACACAACAATGGTGATATTTTTAATTAACAGGCATTAGCAGATGTGTTCATATGGTGATGATCAATGTCATTTGTAAGGTTTATACAATATTATAGTCTAACTTACTTTCTGTTTGTTTTTTCATTGTGGATCGTTTGTTGGTCCCAGAACAGCGCTACCATAACTGTTCTGTCATACACATCTTTCTTGTTCAAGTCTAGATTGACACTACTCTCTGTAACATAAATTAACATCTTATGACTTTACCATGCTGACAACAGACTTACTTTTGTTTGTACCGGTGGAACAGCTTGGAAAAACCAACATCTGCTGAGTTAGGGATAACATCTATTTAAAAGAAATAAACACTTGTTTTGTCCACAATGATTTCTATAGAACCTATGGATAAAGTTATTGGCTATTATCATTAATTCTGGAAAACATCTTGAAATATACAAATTTTGGAATGCTTCCTATGTTGTCTAAATAAAACCACCTTCTTGGAAACAGAACTATTCCTGTACAAAAATCTCCAGATTAAATTAGTACTTACCTAGGAAATATTTAGCAAGTTCTATAGGTTGATGTGTGTAAGCAACATAAACCAGGGGATATCTTTTGTACTTGTCCAGAGCATTCAATGACACACCTTTCTCTACTAGAGCTTTAGCAACCTGAATGTAAACAAGTTGTTGAACTGTTTATGATAAGCTAGCATAGTCAATAACTATCATCTAACTACAATTTTACTAGAAATACCAATTAGATTAAGATTTCATGTAATTTTCTACCTGCATGAAGTCAGTAGCAGTAATTTTGTTAGTTATTTTGAGTCACACCTACACTATAAATTCATATGGTGCTTTTCGAGCAATCTATCCTTGATGAGTAAGAATCCATCGGTGTTCCCTCACCTTAGTTAACATATTTAAGCATGGAACTGCCATCAAGTAGACATCAACATAGTTCCGTATAGCTGGATAGCTTTCTAACATCGAAAAACCCAAAATCCCTGGGGAATTTTTGGAAACCTCATTGGTAATGGGTATGTGGTTTGAAGCCTGATTAGGTATTTTATTCTAAAACAATATCATTTCAAAATACTCATTATACTGTAAAAGAAAGTAGGAAACATTTACATCTTGAATCTTCAGAAACAAAAATACGTGAACAGTATCTTTATTCATACAAACAAACTAAAATGTTTTTCTTTTAGAAATACTTATAAACAAGGATTCATCATACCTTTAACTGAAGTGCACTGTCTTTACCAGGGGTTGTTTCGAGAGCCAAAATATGTAACAGATTCTGACCATCTTTATTTTTGTAATCTCTGATGATAGCTGTGTCTTTTATACGATGTAGATGTCGTAGAGCAATGTGGTATTTGTTCACCTTCAACGCAGCCTATGAAAAACATTCAAATCAATTAGAATTGCCCTTCTTTGAGACATAATAATTATTTGCATGCAAAAGAAACAGGTTTTCAATATTAACAGATTGGCGATCCATATAATCAGTTGAAATGCTGTTAAAATTGGTTGTACTTTCAGCTTGTACATTAAAATATCCCCCCTTCACCCATGGCCAAATCGGCTGTTTTCGTTGGACATCTTTTGCCTCAGATAAATATGAAAACCCTGCGAAAAACTATGCCTCTAAACTATTTTTTTGAAGATTCGTTTAAATTATAACTTCAATGACTGTCTACAAGATCCAGAAATAAATCTGTATTTAACATATTCTTTGAACACTCTTTAATAATAGCCGATAAAACAACACATTCTTTTAAAACTTTTATGAAAGTCAAATTGTTGTATCATTACACCCCATTAGTTCAATGAAATTCAGTCAGTAATCACTTAAAAACTGTTCTAAATTATAGTCAAACCTGTTATCAAAAGGCCACTTAAAGGACAAACATGATATTTATAAACAGTGGGTCTTTATCTTACACGTGATGCTGTTCTACTTATTAATAAAGGGTTGTTGAAGAGTGGCCTTTATTTACATGGTCATCTTTATTTACTAGAGGTGATTTTTAAACAAACACAGGTTTAACACTATGTTTAAGTTAATATTTACAAAAAATATTACTTTTTCCAAAACTTGGAATTGTATCATACGAAAGCCACATTTCTTCATAATTTTGGAGCAAAACAGTGTCATAAATATTGATGTTAAGGGAAATTAAAGTAGTATAGTTTTTTTGTTTTAATTCAAAGCCAGTATAGTTTTCTTTGTTTTTAATGTATCTAAAAGTATAACCAGGTAGACATAACCTAAATGTATACAAAACCTCAACAGCCTTTCCAGTGAGTCCCGAGGCATCTAGAATCATATGGGCAACACCCTGTAATTCTCCTTCAATAGCAAACTGTAATATACAGAGAATTCAATTTACAATAATGAAGTGTACAACTTAACTTAGGGAGACTGGTGGGAGTGCCTCAAGGGCAGCAACCTTAATTCCACAATATTCATTGCTTTATTAAGAGAATCTGTAACCAAAATTTAAAACTGCATAAAAATCATTTAGAACAATGTTAAATTACTTTAATCATTGTAAAAATATTAGAGCATATAACAAGTGTATTTTCTAACATTTTCAATGACAATGCTCTATATTTAAGTAATAACAATAATAAACAAATAGTAGTATTTCTTTCTTTGTTTTACACAGATTTCAAAACATTTTGGTCATAGCTTGGAGCAGAATGTCCATTATTAACCAGCATCCCTGGATAACTAACCAGTAATTGACAATTTCTCTACAATTGACAACTACTAGCCCCACATGATTTCTGATTCACCAGTTGAGAGATAAATGGCCACTAGACTCAAAATTCACCTTCGCCTAGACTTAACACATGACCCCTGGATCACAAATCCAATCCTCTCACCAATGAGTAAAGTAGACTAGTAAATTATGAATGCTTAAACCACACGCAGATCAAGTTAGCAAGAACAAGTATATCTAACATTTACCTGGTATGTATCAAAATGGTACGGTTTCACCACTTTGTCTGCATATCTTGAGCGTTTCCATTTCCAGATGGGGAAGTTTCTTTGATGTAATGCTGGAAGTATAGTACTCTCTGCGATCTTTTTTCTCTACCAGTTCTACAATGGTAGCATCCACCTTTGCTCCCTTCTGTAGTAACATTATTGCACAGCTTAAAAAATAGAACACACACATGGTTGAAATTTCTCTCAATGATACTCATTAATTAGTGCTGCTAATGCTGGTATCTATTTATATAAAATACAGCAAAGACCAATGTAAATACAAGATATAAAGTGAAGGCCACTGGCCTAATTTATGAAATGGACATGACCCACTTTCTTAATAATTTAAATGGTGACTCAGTGTACTTCCGGCACCCCTGATTTATTGTATTAATTTACCCAATGCTGACACCAGAGTGCATCCACAGACTTTTCAATAGCCAGCCAGTTAGCTCCCACACATTAAAGGCTCTATTCTGGTTGTAAAGGCTAATCACTTTACGTTCTAGCAAGTTAAATAAAGGATTATATATCTATTGAACTATTACTACAACTATTTACCTGTCGTGTTCATAATCTACTGCTAATGATAATGCTGTATGGCCCATAATGTCTGTAGCAAGGATCGGTACACCTCTCTGAAACAGATTTACATAGTTGTTAGGCAGTCATTTTTTTTTTTTTTGGTTGGATTTTACGTTGCACTAACACAGTATAGGTAATATAGCCTCTTTACAATCTCCAGATTGACTGGTGGAGGAATACCTCAGGTGCCCTACTGGTTATCATTTCAGGCAAAAACAGGAACAGTGTAGAACCAATGACATTCCTTAAGCTAGCTGGAAAGAATTCAGAGTCGCTGTCAGCATTCAAACTCACAGCAGTGGTCATTCACTTTTACCACTCGGCCATTGACGCCCCTCACTTAAAAACATATCTTAATCAAATATATAGCGGCATATTCCTTTCTTAATAAATTGTAGTAATAAAGATCATAGATCTTTTATCAAGTACAAAATAATAGTCATAAACAATCGGTTAATTTAAAGCATAAAAATAGTTTCACACCAGTTGATTATATAGGAAATAATGTGCCGGGTATATATGGCATATACACTGGAGCTCCGTTATAGCGCTCATGTTGGGGTCCATGATCTGAAGACAGCGTTGTATAAGAGGTAACTTTTGTATAACGCTCATTTTGTAATTATAGCGAAAGTAAACGCATTACCCACCAACCGCCGAAACATATAACGCTTGTTAGTGGAAATGATTGCTTACTTACCTATCAATGGATATCAGTCCAAACTTTTTTTATATATTATTATTTATTATTTTGTATTACATTACTGAATATGTTTAATATAAACATTAAATTTACGAATTAAAAATATAAACCACAAATGTATAATTGTTTATAAATTTCTAGTAAAACAATGGTGTTAATGCGAGTTATGTGTAGTCATGAAAATTGATACCTAGTTGATGGGACTAAATTAATCGTCTTTCCTGCTGTCTCTTGTGAAAAAGTCAGTCATCTTCAACAACTTTTTTGCCGATAGATCGAAAGTGCATGCTTTTTAAAATTTATTGTACGCTTGTGTGATTAACTCAACTCTTCAGTGTTTGCATGTCTTAGCAAACAGTTTGATACCTGACTGATCAACAGTTCAAAATGAACAAAAGAGCCAATTAACGCATACCTGTGTATGACTTCACACCTTTTGATCATGAGTGATGTAATTATGACTGTTTATTGCCTCGACTGACACACTGAACAAGCGTTATAGTGGATAAGGTGCGGTATTGATATACATGAAAAAAAAATATAATCGGCGAAAAATACAATTTTTTTTTTGGCAGCCAAGGCATATGAGTGTTCTACCGAGATTAGCGCTACATCGAAGAGCGCTATATCGCGGCTCCAGTGTAATTATGTCATATATTACGTTTAAGTTACCTGTAGTAAATGAATACAACAGATGGTTGCCCCTCTCATAGCAGCTAAATGTAATGGAGACCTTCCTTTCTTGTCTCGAGAATCTAACTCCTTGTTATCCATTGCATCTGTGAGTACACTACACAATTCTATTGGGTCTAAGGCTGACACAGAGTTTGGACTGTAATAAATTCAAACAATTGTTAACAGATACTTTATATTTATACTTTTCATTTACATTTATCTTCAACTCTGTAAATGAAACCATCAATCAAACTAACTTTTTATTTTACCAGGCAGAATTTTCATTTCTGTTATATTTCTTCTGATCATGAGATGTCTATTCGTTTGAAATTCTCAACCATTTTAATACATCTTCCCTTTAGCAATATCTTGAAACTCAGTCCGCACCTGGCTTTCTTGGATTTACCCATTTCTCCACAAGTGAGTGACTACTAAAAATAATCACACATGATCCAACTCAATACTGATTGTAACTTAACTAACACATTCTAACATCAAAATCCACAAAATTTCCTATGCACAACACCAATTTCAATAGAGGTAAATCCTTTTAATATATGGTGTAATGGTCAACTTTTAAAATAGAAACAAGTTTGTAACTCATTTTTTCATTGATGTGTTCATTCCATGAGATAGAACTTCTCATTCTGTTGAGGCAACTTCCAACCTCCCCCCCCCCCCCATTAATTTAGATGAATTTTCATGTTTCATTGTTATTTCCACACATACAACCAAGCTCGATCAGTATTTCAGAAAGGATAAAAAACCTAAAAAATAACACGGAAATCCAGAGTTTTACTTACTTGTTTTTAGATAATAAATGCATAGTGAAGTGGTAATCTATTTTCCTCATCTTTAGCTTTAAAACGTTAGCTCCTGCGGAAATAAGAAACTCTTTCAAGTTCTGTACTGGCATTTGACGTCCCTAGATTAGCCAGTACCGCAGTGTGAAGAGCTGGCTGTTTACCGGCATTGACTTCAGCCCCCGCATTCAATAATAACTTAGCTATCTCAATAACAATGGCCTCATCACCTAAATGAAAATAAACACTTTGTAAAACAACAACATTCATTTCATTATTTGGTTGAATAACTTTTTACCTCAACAACACCATTAAATATCCCCCCAGTATTTTTGAAAGAACTGAACAAACATGGCTTTACTTACAAAACAGCACTGCATACCAGTTATACATGTATATACTGTAACAAGACAGTCCAGAAAGTTAAGACATAAATTTCAAGAAAATACAACCTTTTCTCCTGCTACTTTTAAGTCTTTCTTTTAATATAAATTAATATTTTTACATCAGCAAAAAAGTCTAAAATGAAAATGTACAGTTTTACCTCTATAATGGACAGCCAGGTTTAAGGGTTGTTCTCCGGTTTTAGAGTTTGGCTTCTTGACATCAGCCCCAGCATCTATCAACATCTTTACTATCTGCACTGAAGATTGACTGAAATTGTAGAAATTAGGTAAATTTAAATCTTTTATATAGCCAATTAACTTAACTGATGTACAATTTATATATGTTACAAGCCAAAATACATTCCATTAACCTTTAAAAGCCCTCAAATTATGTCAGGTAGGTCAAGATCAATCAAAAAGTAACTAAAAGAAAACAAATTACTCTGAAACAACCATAGACTGAAATCACTAAACTTACTCTGCTGCCTTATGTAAAGGTGTGAAAAATCCTGTAGCTTCCAAACCATATACTGTATTGGGATCTGCACCAATCTTGATCTGAAATAAGACCATTCAGAAAATTGGTATCAAGCTCGTACAAAGTAAATCATTTTTTGTTAGACTTTATTTTTAGAATTTTGGTAACAGGTTATATAGTTAGATTTACCCTTGCCTTGCTTTGAGCCAACTTTATGGCTTCCTAGTATTGACAATTTTTCAAAACTTTTCAAAATTCTAACATACCGTAGTAGGAATTTTTGGAAATAGATTTAATATACATGTAATCCATGTATGTGGAATGAAACATTACTAAAACATGCAGAGATTTAACAAATACAGTTCAAGTCATCACTTGTTAACAGCAAAGAACTAGAGTTATCACTAAAGGTGATTCATACCTCCATCAGCAACTCAGGAAATGACTTTCTAAATATGTAAATTTACATCATTCCTCAACCTTATTGTTAAAACATTTAGATATTTAATTGGGTAAAGCCGTAAAGGTGTTTGTGTTTCAACCCAGTGATTTATTGTTCGAGGTATCTGTTTGAGATTACACAACCTGACATCAATACTGGTAAAATATTGATTGTTTCATATAGCCTACATGCTATGTTCATTTTCAAGATTAAATAAATATAAAAAATAATATGGAGATGCTCAAGTAATCATAAAACAATTCCATCAATCCTGAAGCTCAAACTTTCTGTATAGAAAAATAGAAATAGTCTTATACTCACTAGTTCTGCTAGCGCTTTAGCACATTTGGATTCTACAGCTAATGCCAATGCTGTCTGGTTACTTAGGTTCTGTGTTCCTGTTGGGCTTTGTACTGCAGATCAGGCGGGCCAGCACAGTTCAACTCTCCGTAACCTCGTGACCGACATGTATAAGCATGTGTAAAGGTGAGAATTTACCTGTAAAATAAAAATCACACCAAGTTAGCAATAAGAAACTTTTCTTTAAATATAGAACCAGTACAACAAACTTTTAAAATTGAACCCCTGAGTCAGATAATATAACAAAACTTTACACAGCTTCAGGCATTTTTCCGTCTATAACAGGGGTTGATATAAGGCCCCTTCATAATTCAAAATTGCACTTTTTTTTCACAAAGCGGCAGAAAAAATTCACAATTTCAAAAGAGATTTCACAAAATATTGGGTCTTTGTCTTCGAAATACATTGTTTACCTTCCGGTAAAAACTTGATTAGCCTATTGTAATTACACAGAAATAGTTTTAATTAAGAAAAAAGGTTTTGCGCATGTTAACCGGGTTAAAGTATACCAACTTAGAGCAGATTTACACAGGAGAGAAATTATAATAAACCATTTCAGGTTTCAAAAAGTTGCGAAATGCCAAGTAATATGTCTTTTTTTTCTTCACATATCACACTTTTTTCACAAAATAAACAGGCCCAGGCCCCTTCACAATTTTGACAAAAAATGCCCTGAGCTTCTTGAGCCGAGAATAAACAAAGCTGTATTTTTCAGTGTTTCTTATTTTATTTCCAACTCTGCCTTAATTTAGTTGACTTTATTACAAGTACATTCACAGCGAACATGTAGAATTACTTTACATATTCATGTTAAACTACAACAAAACTGCATAATGTATTATTATTAATACTTATCTGCTCATTTTGGGTTTTAAACCACACCAGTACTGCTACCAGATCAACTACTTTCAATATTATTAAAGAAGAATGGAGATACCATGTGCCCATTTTTGGGGTTAATTCCAACAAAATAACTGTACAAATATACCTACCATCTGCTGTATATTTTTCCTCCTCTGTGTCTACTTTATGATCAGCAGGGAAGACTTTCTCGTGAACTGTAGCCGACACATCGGCACCGGTCAGCTCTATCATAGCCTGAATAAACTTACGGCCATTCTCGCTGCATTTCTTTACATCAGCATCGGTCATTGTACCAGATTTCTGCAAAAATCAAGTTTTTTTAACAGTATTTAACTGCAATGTCATCAATATAAATAAATTTCATTTCAAATATCAAACCTAAGGTTTTATCCTAACATTGTTCTCAGATTTTTCATTACCCAGTTGTTAAGTTTTATCAAAACTGACGTTCATTTGACTATGATGATTATATTTATCACCATTTACGGTAAAGGATGAAGTCATGTACACCATTGACATATAACTTCGTCTTGAATGTTTAATCTTTTTAAACGCGTTTTTTTGATGCCCTAAAATTTGATAAAATAATTTTACTCAATAAAAGAATGAATATGTTTTGACTATTAAGAACCATATAAATTTTAAGTCTAATGTATTTTAAAACAAGAGCTGTCACAGGAGACAGCGAAGCTCGACTAATAAAATACTGGACGCAGTAAGGAGGACAAAACTATGAAAGAAAAATCCATTATGTATAATTATGTATTAAGTTATAGTAAAAAAATAACATTTGTTAACATTAATTCCAAGATCAAGGGGAATAATTCTAGAAATAGTCATGCTAGAGTTATGGACCTTGTCACACAACATTTGTGTAATGATAAGAAATATATATTTGAAGTTTGAAGTAGATACCTTAAAAAGTAAAGAAATTATTATATTTCTTAAAGAAAATCCTAAGTTCAAAGAGAGATAAATCTGTAAATATTGCTTCAAGAGTTATGAAAATTGTCACATAAAAAGTAATTGATGATAAGGAATAAGTATTTGAAGTTTGAGGTAGATACCTTTAAAAATAAAAAAGTTATAATAAAAAATAACATTTTTCTAGTAAAAAAATCTAACTTTATGGAGAGATAATTCTTGCAATATTGGTGCTAGAGTTACGAACCTTGTCAAATAAGATGTGGATGATGATAACGCAAATATATTTGAAGTATGAAGTTGATCCCTTTAGAAATAAATAAGTAACAGTAAAAAATAATATTTTTTATGGAAAATTCTAAGTTCAAGGGGAGATAAATCTGAAAATATTGGTGCTAGAGTTATGAACCTTGTCACATAAGATGGGGATGATGATAACGTAAATATATTTGAAGTATGAGGTTGATCCCTTAAGAAATAGCGAAGAAACAGTAAGAAATAGTATTTTTTGAGGAAAATTCTAAGTTCAAGGGGAGATAAATCTGAAAATATTGGTGCTAGAGTTATGAACCTTGTCACATAAGATGGGGATGATGATAAGGTACATACATTTGAAGTATGAGGTTGATCCCTTAAGAAATAAAGAAGTAACAGTAAAAAATAGTATTTTTTAAGGAAAATTCTAAGTTCAAGGGGAGATAAATCTGAAAATATTGGTGCTAGAGTTATGAACCTTGTCACATAAGATGTGGTTGATGATAAGGAACATATATTTGAAGTTTGAAGTTGATACCTTAAGAAATGACAAAGTTATAGTGAAAAATATTTTACTGCACCAAAACTTTAATCTAAAATCTGGACGCAGACGCCGACGCTGGGGCGAGTAAGACAGCTCTCCATATACTTCGTATAGTCGAGCTAAAACTTGATCAAAGTCTTCTATTATCAAAACATAACACCTCAAATCTGTCATCTCAAAAAATTTGTGACATTTCAAGGGATAACTGCTCAAAACTCTTTATAAGTGTAACTTAAAAGCAAGCTTATTGAGTCTAATGTGCCAGGTAAATACACTCCTTATATGAGCCGCGTCATGACAAAACCAACATAATGGGTTTGCGACCAGCATGGATCCAGACCAGCCTGCCCATCTGCGCAGTCTGATCAGGATCCATGCTGTTTGCTTACAAACCCTATAACAAGTAGAGAAACTGATAGCAAAACAGCATGGATCCTGATAAGACTGCGCGGATGCTCAGACTGGTCTGGATCCATGCTGGTGCACTATGTTGGTTTTGTCATGACACGGCTTATATGTTTTTCGTCTCCATTCAAAAGTGATGACACAATCTTTAATACAATATTGACCTTTTCAATACCTTGCTAAAATAAAGAATAACATGTACATATATCTTGCTAACCTTGAAGTCCCTGTATATTTTGCATGCCCAGAGTAAAGGTGTGTATCCATCATTGTCATATTCTGTGGCCATCATAGGCCAGATATCTTCCTGAGAAGCTATAGATGCCATCTTCTCTAACTTAGGCTGGCTTACTTCATCTACCTCCATACCATTTACAGCATCTATTTATAGAAACATACAGTCACCATCATCATGATGGAATATCACTATAACACCTAACTACCTGATAATAAATTTTATAAATTTGAAAATCAATGATAAAACTACAGACTTCCCGAAATACGTCGGTCCGACGGACATGTCCGATAAATTTTGATCAGGTCCGACGAGTTTTTACTCCGGATCGGTCCGACTGTCCGGCTTTTATCCAAGCCGCATGTACACAAAATGGCGTCGCTAAAGGTGACAAACCTTAGAAAAATTAAAAATCTACTTCAGAGGAACAGGCAGAACAGCAGTAAAAGGATAAAAAGAATAGATCTGAGACAAAATTTAATGAAAAATAGAAGCAAGACAGTGAATCGTTGGTGTATGATAGGGAGGAGATGAAAATGCGCTGTAAGGAATGTGCCGATTTTTACGGCGAAAAAATTAAAAACAAAATGTGTCTTAGAAATACAAACACAAGTTATTCTTTGATTTTGATCAATTTTATTTGGTCCGACAGATTTCGATTCGGTCCGACAGATTTTCATGGTTTGTCAGACCAAATGTCTGACAGTTTTTTTCAACTTTCGGGAAGTCTGAAACTAGCAAAGAAGTTGCATTCTATTTTTGCTTGTTTATTTTGTCCTTATATTTTGTTGATAGAACTTTTGTTTTTTGTTGCCTTCTAAGTCATACAAACACTGTAATAGTCATATGGCAACTGTCCAGCTTTACTGGTGGAGGAACACCACAGGTGCCACTCAGTGCATCATTTCGGGCAAGAGTGATCTCCTGTTTTTGTTTTCTTTGTGTTTTTTTTTATGATACACCAACACAATTAAGATCATATAGTGCAAAAAAGGAAAGATGATTTTGTCTAACCTAGGGTGTTACAAACTTAAAGCAACACCAGGGGTCAAAACCACCTCATCTGCTGGAGTTAACAGATGCATAGACTTCAATAATTCAAACCCATTTAAGAACTGGATAAAGTTACGTACCTATTTTAGCATCCCCTGAACCATTTTCCTTGGGTTTATCACTGTCAGTTTTCTGTTTATCAGACTGTTTATCACCATCAGTTTCCATTGCCTCTGGTTTATCCTCCTCTACAATGTCACCATTCTCTACAACAACCTTCTTATTATCACTCCCTTTAACTGTCTTTGCCTCTTTATACTTGGGTTTCTGAAATGTGCATGAACATAAGTACACTTATTTCACATTATGATTTTTTTATGATAAGCTTGGGATGATGAAATCATAATTCTTTACAACATTTTTTATTTGATGACAAAAGTTAAACAGTCATCTTCCAATTGTACATCTTGAATCTAATATTCTACATTCTTAATCTCATTTGTCAGGATACAAAAATTGTTATACAATTACACATATACCCCACATATTTCTAGTTGTCTAATGAGAGTTTCTTCGAAGTACAAACTTTTACCGCTAAAACTTCAAATGTACTACAGTTAATAGTGGTGCAATCAACATGTTGCCCATATTTTTCTATTCACCACGTTGAAACTTTATTTGTACAAGCAGATTATCTGGGACAACCCCATATTTGCTGAGAAACAGGTATCATCTATTATTGGCAGAGCACACATTAAATTTTGAGAACCATTAGATTTCCAATATGGTCAAACATGTTTACAGCAAGATTAGGTTTTTATTTTTTGTTGCCAAGAATTTTCACCAAATGATAAATCTTTAAAAGAAATTTATTTTGTCCCCTACTCCCCCCCCCCCCGCGCAGTTTTTTGCCAAATAATAAAACTAAGCACAAAATTTATTTTTGTCACATTTGGCAACAATGAGCATCAGCAGTGCAAACTCTGCCTAACAATATAATAATACACAGTAAGAAAGATTTATGTTACCTGTTCCACCAGTATCTTGAGTATACCACTAAGATCGGAGTCCATGCACAGATCTGACATCAGATGAAGAATGGTCTTGCCACTATCAGACTTGTGTGATGTCACTGTAGCACCTGCTTCCACTAACAACTCTATCAACTTAATGTTCAGCTGAAAAACATAGCAAAATATCAACTTAATGTTTAGCTGGAATATCAACCCTTTGAATATCAGTTGATCATAATGGCAGCATGTGTAATAGGGATGGATCAGCTTTAAATTATGACTAGACAGACTCAGACTTTGAAATCCCATGGAAGAATGGTGTTCCAAACTTCAGTGCAAAAATAACTAGTACAAAATTGTTAACATTAATTATAATGTAAAAATTATCATTTGTGATAGCTTTTATTTTTCAATTGTTGCTCATATTCTTCCAACACACAACTTTTATTTGGTAAATTCATTATTTCATATTACATATTAGCAAAAAAAAAAAAAGGATGCCTATTTGGACATCATAACATGACCTTTCAAAAGTAACCCGTTAAGAAAGCATCTCTGTTCCATATGGAGTAACAAAGGCAGATAATAACAATGAATATTTCTACAGAAGACAATTTTCCCCCTAAATCAAGACCAATGAGCAACTTGTACGTGTGACGTTTTGTTTTATTAACCCACACCACCAGAACGAACCATACAGACAAGCATATACATCATTTATAAGAGACTAAAGTCTGGTTTTAAACATTCTTAATTTGTCGAGCAACTTGTTCTTCAAGACATAACTTAATAATGGAATAGTGAAAATTTGGGCCGCGTCACGACAAAACCAACATAATGCGTTTGCGACCAGCATGGATCAAGACCAGCCTGCGCATCCAAGCTGTTCACTTAACAACTCTATTACATGTAAAGAAACTGATAGTGAACAGCATGGATCCTGATCAGACTGCGCAGGCTTGTCTGGATCCAAACTGGTCGCAAACCCATTATGTTGATTTTGTCATTACGCGGCTCATTTACCTGTTCTATGGCAAACATGAGGGCAGTTTTACCATCCTCTGTTTCAGCTGTCAGATCACAACCAGCGTCCAATAAAGACTTTGCTATTTTCACTGTTAGGTCCATTTTCTCTTCATCTATTTCTTTCTTCTACAAACACAAAAAGTTACATATAATGAAAGCTTTAACTACAAATTTTTTTCAACAATCAGACTTATATATTATTCTCTTTAGTTTACATAAAAATAAAATTCCATAAAAAATGTAATATTCCAAACATTTTGTTTACCAACACATCACTTGAAGCCATTCTCATAAGATTAGTATTTTAGTAGAAAAAACTTGGAAGTCTAGTTAAACCACACACAGGTATACTCCTGGAAATAATCGGTTCTTGTGTTATCAAAAAAAACCCTGGTTGAAACCCTAGCAGGGCACAAACAAACTTTCACAGGGTTAAGATGGAGATTCCTTAACCACAAGGGGATCTTTACCAAGCCTCTCCAGATAAAGAATTACCCTATACCCTACCATTTTGTATAATGAACTTTTCTTCTTAAAGTTTTCGTCCATTAGCAGCCTCAGGGATTTGAGAATCAAAATATTGAATGTTGACTGATAAGAAATACAATGCACAACAACAGATTCAAAGCAACTATTACCACTGTGGTCTATCTAAAAGAAACCCTTGATATAACTTGAAGAAAATTAAACAAGTACCTGGTGTTGTTGTTGCCAGCCCCAACCATAATATACTTCTACTTTTGCTATACTGTTCCTGGCCAGATGATGTAACTACAGAATATAGAATAAACATATAATAAACTTTGTACTAACACAAGTTCAACATAGACAACTATTGATGAAAGGTAGTATATCTACTGAGTCAAACAAAGTCTGTTCTAAAAGGAACTCCACTGAGGTCCAAATGCCTAAAAACAAAATTTGAATTTCTTACATAGATTAGCTGGGGCACTTAAAGCTACATGCCTTCAGATGAGTCAAAATATTTCAATTAAATCAAACTTGAGAAAAATGAACAAAGATGAAAGGAAAAGTAAAAAGTTTCAAGATTCAAATAATATTTTACACATAAGGTGTGATTAATGACTGAATTTTCAGTGTTTACAACTATATTTCTACTATGTTACTAACGCATTTAAGGCTACTTATGCATATTTTGACCACTTTTTGGTAATTAATGTGGTTTGTAAGTGCCATTGATAATGTGTAAATTGCTTCCTTTTGGTCACTTACTTCACAATATTACACATTCAAAATTTTCATGAAAATTAGCATGAATCTGGAGGCATGCTGCTTTAAAACAATAAGGTTTTGTTTCGAAATATAATTAAGAAATTTACTAAGAATTTTTTTTAATGAAAATCGTATTTTTATGCTATTCTTAGTTCCATTTGAGTGAAAAGCAATTCTACGCTTTCCAATTTTGGGTCATTTTTCACAAATAAAATAGTCATTCTGGAAAAACGGAAAAGAGCGAATGATTCGAAATTTTGTACACAAGTTACTGGTCTAGACCTACACTAAACAGGACATCAATCTTGAACAATTATTTCTTGTCCAGTAATGTAAAAAAAAACTTCAGTTAAGTCCTTTTAATAGAACATTTTCATTAATATACGATATACTAAATACTAAGTGTCCAATACAAGAAATATATAACATTGGTGGCTCATGATATACAATTCAAAAGCACAATACATATTACTTATTACATTATAGATTGTGATTCATATTCAGATCACCAGGAAAATTTCTTACAGCATTCAATCCATTCACATCCTTTATAGAGGGATTGGCCTTTCTATCTGTCAGGTATCTGATTTGATCATACAATCCTGGTGTCAGAGGACTACTAGTGGCCACACTCAACAGTGTTAAACCTGAAATTTTACAAAATAAAACTAGAACTGCCACTATCATGGCGTGAATGCCCCCGCATACCACTTTGTCAGAATCAACAGTGGCCATTTAGAGCTCAAGGACAACCTCCCTGCCAAATCTGAGGTTACTAAGCCAGTGCATTGCTAAGTTATGTATTCTACATGCTTCAAATGTGAAAATGTCAATACATTGCGGACAGGACATTCTTTAGCGATTGAGAAGAAAACTTTTTTTTGTCAAGGTCCCTGTGACCTTGACCTTTGACCCAGTGACTTCAAAATCAATAGGGGTCACCTTATAGTCATGATCAACATCCATACCAAATATGAAGACTGTGGGTCAAAGGAATGTTAAGTTAATGGGTGTACAAACTTTTTGAAGTCAAAGTCCCTATGACCTTGACCTTTGATCCAGTGACCTCAAAATCAAAAGGGGTCATCTACTAATCATGATCAACATCCATGCCAAATATGAAGACTGTGGGTCAAAGGAATCTAAAGTTATTGGGCAGACAAACTTTTTGAAGTCAAAGTCCCTGTGACCTATGACCTGGTGACCTCAAAATCAATAGGGGTCATCTAATAATCATGACTAACCTCCATGCCAAATATGAAGACTATGGGTCAAAGGAATCTTAAGTAATTGGGCGGACAAGCTTTTTGAAGTCAAGGCCCCTGTGACCTTGACCTTTGACCTCAAAATCAATAGGGGTCATCTACTAATCATGACTAACCTCCATCCCAAATATGAAGACTGTAGGTCAAAGGAATCTTAAGTTATTGGGCGGACAAGCTTTTGGAAGTCAAGGCCCCTGTGACCTTGACCTTTGACCTAGTGACCTCAAAATCAATAGGGGTCATCTACTAATCATGACTAACCTCCATGCCAAATATGAAGACTAAGGGTCAAAGGAATCTTAAGTTATTGGGCGGACAAGAAAAAACCGACGGACGGCCGGACGGACGGACAGCCGGACAAGCTGATTCCAGTATACCCCCCTTACAACTTTGTTGTGCAGGGGTATAACTAGAACTATCACTAAATGTGATTAATACCCCCACAAGACTGCTTCAGAAATGAGGAAGTTACAGGTAACAGAATACCTTGTTAAAGAATTGAAATAGAGTTATGGTTGTGGGCAATTAAAGATAGTTGTGGTTCTTGTATGTTAAATTTCCTTACAATATGGTTGACCCTAGATGACGTTTTATTGAATTACTCTGTAATAAATCCAGAAAGAGTTACGCTTCTTGAGCATTGCACTTCCTCTCATTGTGCTTTACCATTGTATGAAGTTGCATTGAATTCTAAACATTAGTTTTAAGTTATGCATCGGACAAGGTAAAGGAACAAAGGGCAATAAGTCTACAAATACTGAAGACGGAGTTATGGTTATTGTACACTTCCTCTCATTTCGCTTGACCATTGTACGAAGTTGTATTGAATTCCAACTGCTAGTTTTCAAGTTATGCACTAGACAAACCGGTTGAACCGGGTGATGCTCCCCGAGAAGGTTCTGGACACAGGAAAGTATAAAAAAATGAACAAAGGGCAATAACTCCAAAATTAGACCAGGCTTTGTTTAGGTTCTTGAAGCGTTGCAGTTCTATCCAATTATATTCTAGCTACCTACAAAGTTTATGTTTGATATTCTAATAGTTTTAAAGTAATGTCCAGGACAAAAGTCAAAAAGTAAAAATAAACAAAGGGCAATTACTTTCAAAATAAGGCAAGGCAGAGTAATGATTCTTAAGCACTGCACTTCCACCCAATGAGACCTATCTAATCTACAAATTTCATGTTGATATCCTCTTATAATTTTAGAGGTAATGTCCCAGACAAAGTTCAAAGTGTCAAAATGAACAAAGGGCAATAACTACAAAAGTAGGCAAGACAGTGTTACAGTTCTTGTGCACTGCAAACTTACTCTATGAGATCTATCTACCTACAAAGTTTTATGTTGATATCTCTTATACATTAAGAAAGTATGTCCCGGACAAAGTTCAAAGTGTAAAAAATAAACAAAGGGGATAAATTCAACAAGAGCTGTCGTAGGACAGCATGCTAGACTATTCTTAGTGCTTTGATAGTAAAAAAATGCCTGATACAGTTACCTCCTCCTGTTTACAGGTTGGGGTCATGATGGTGAACAAGTGTGCAAAGTTTCAAAGCCATATGTCAATGGACTTTGAAAATATTTGAACTATTACAAAAAACTTTAACGTAAATTCTAAGTCAAAAAGGGGCATAATTCTGTCAAAATGCTTGATAGAGTTACCTCCTCCTGTTTACAGGTTGGGGTCATGATGTTGAACAAGTGTGCAAAGTTTCAAAGCCATATGTCAATGGACTTTGAAAATATTTGAACTATTACAAAACTTTAACGTAAATTCTAAGTCGAAAAAGGGGCATAATTCTGTCAAAATGCTTGATAGAGTTACCTACTCCTGTTTACAGGTTGGGGTCATGATGTTGAACAAGTGTGCAAAGTTTCAAAGCCATATGTCAATGGACTTTGAAAATATTTGAACTATTACAAAAACTTTAACGTAAATTCTAAGTCAAAAAAGGGGCATAATTCTGTCAAAATGCTTAATAGAGTTACCTCCTGCTGTCTACAGGTTGGGGTCATGATGTTGAACAAGTGTGCAAAGTTTCAAAGCCATATGTCTATGGACTTTGAAAATATTTTGAACTATTACAAAAACTTTAACGTAAATTCTAAAGTCGAAAAAGGGGCATAATTCTGTCAAAATGCTTGATAGAGTTACCTCCTCCTGTCTACAGGTTGGGGTCATGATGGTGAACAAGTGTGCAAAGTTTTCAAAGCCATATGTCAATGGACTTTGAAAATTTTGAACTATTACAAAAACTTTAACATAAGTGGTTACGCCGACGCCGACGCTCGGGTGACTGCAATAGCTCTACTTATTCTTATTCGAATAGTCGAGCTAAAAATCAAGGCAGATTAAGTCTTGAGCTAATGAGATCTATCTACCTACAAAGTTTTCATGTTGATAACCTCTTTATACTTTTAGAAGTTATGTCCCGGACAAAGTTCAAAGTGTAAAATAAACAAAGACCCAAGGGATAATTCAAAAATTAGACAAGGCAGAGTTTCGGTTCTTTGTGCACTGGCACACCTACTCAATGAAGATCTATCTTACCTACAAAGTTTTCATTTTGATACCTTCTTATATTTTAGATTAGTCCCGGACAAATTTCAAAGTGTAAAATAAACAAAGGGGGATAAATTAAAAAAAAATTAGGCAAGGCAGAGTTACGGTTCTTGTGGCACTGCAACAACTACTCAATGAGATCTATCTACCTACAAAAGTTTCATGTTGATACCTCTTTATACTTTTAGAGTTATGTCCCCGGAACAAAGTTCAAAGGTAAAAATAAACAAAGGGGGGAAAATTCAAAAAATTAGGCAAGGCCAGAGTAACGGTTCTTGTGCACCTGCACTTCTACTTAATGAGATCTATCTAAACCTACAAAGTTTCATGTTGATACCTCTTATACTTTTTAGATTATGTCCCGGACAAAGTTCAAAGTGTAAAATAAACAAAAAAGGGGGATAATTCCCAAAAATTTAGGGCAAAGGCCAGAGTTATGTTTCTTGGTGCACTTGCACTTTACTCAATGAGATCTATCTACCTACAAAAGTTTCAATGTTGATACCCTTATACTTTTAGAGTTAAAGTCCCGGACAAAAGTTCCCAAAGATGTTTAAAAATTTAAAACAAAGGGGAATAATTTCAAAAATTAGGCAAGGCAGAGTTTACGGTTCTTGTGCCAGCTGCACACCTAAACTCAATGAGATCTATCTACCTACAAAGTTTCATGTTGATTACCCTCTTGTTGTTTCAAAGTTTATGTCCCGCGACAAGAAAAGGGAACGGACGGACAGACGAACGGACGGACGGACGGACAAGCGGCGCGACTAATATCTCCCCCGAAATTTTTTCGGGGGGAAGCCCAAAAAAAGAAAAGTACAAAGGGGCAAAAACTGAATGGGTCCATAGAGTTACAACTTTCTCTGCACGGCACTTCAACATCTACTGCCCTTAAATGAGTCAAGATTATGGTTTCTGTGAACTGCACTGTCCCTCAATAACTTGACCAATTGTATGAAATTGATTGAATTCCAAAATGTTACTTTTCAAGTTAGCTCTGGACAAGAAAAAAGTAATGAAAAGAAAGGGCAGTAAACCTCAATAATTTATCTCAACAAGTTTATAGGTTCTTGTCACCTGCACTTCCTTTTTAATGTTGCTTTGAATTGTATGAAAGTTTGTTGAATTCCAAACAATTAGTTTTCAAGTTATGCCTCCGGACAAAGGAAAAGTAAAAAAGGGCAAAAAACTCTGAAATTTAAAGTGAAAAATGGAGTTTTTTGCCTAGTGTACTGCTTCCCCCAAAGTTTGATCTTTGTAAAAATTTCCCCAACCAAAAAATCCCAGTTAGCCCGGACAAAAAAAAAGGGCAATAAAAATAAAAAAGGGCAAATAACTCTGAAAATTACGGGGTTTCCCCATCTTAGATATTTAAAATTTTTAAAGGGACTTTTCGGGATTATCAAGGCCCCTTTTTTGTTTTTTTAAGGACTTTTTAAAAATTTTAAATTTTAAAAGCAAACCCGATTTTTTTGCCCCATAAAATATTTCAGGGAAAATTTTTTAAAAAACATTTAATAAAAAATTTTTCAAAATAAAAGGTGGGTTTCTTTGAATAAATCAACTAATCTAAGAAATTTACATTCTTTTTTGATAAGAAATAAAATTATTTTTGTGACACCCAACTTTTGCAGGTTGTTCTGCAATTTTCCATGTTTATTTTGGTGTTTTTAATGCTTTCCAAGGGGACCACTTTTTTTACAAAAAGATATTCAGTACTTTAATAAGTACCTCACTTTACCTCAGTCCACTTAGGGCATAGAATGGGCAAAAGCATGCACACGAAGGAAAAACTGCCTGCAGGTGTTTCTAACAT